AGAAAAGAAAAGAAAAGAAAAGAAAAGAAAAGAAAAGAAAAGAAAAGAAAAGAAAAGAAAAGAAAAGGTCTTAGTAAAGCTAAAATAAATCTACTGTTTTCTTGTAAAAGAGACTGTGATTTTATGGAGATAATAGAACTTCAGCTTTTCTTGCAGGGACTTGTCATCTAATAAAAACACATCTCCTTACCACTATCCTTTCCCTGTTCCCTATTTTCCTTGTTGTACTGTATCTCAGAAGACATGCTTCCCCCCCAACATTAAGGGCTGGTTGAGAAGGCAGCAACGTATCTTCCAAAGCAGGCAGCCTATTTACCAAGGTAAGCAGGTACCTCCAATATCTCTTCATATTTGGAGTTGCCCTAAACAACCTAAGTGTGCTTAAGACACAGTTAAATTTATAGTTTCTATGAAATTCTTGGCATTCTCTGTTGGTGTCATAACTGTGCTATTTATTAGATAAACCTATAAATAGACATCTCCCAGTCCACGAGAACATTAATTATACATACAGCTTCTCACAGATCTATGTACTGGGTGTTTATGGAACTTATTTGTGTATGTAGGACACAGACTGTAAAACACAAAGCTAGTCATTACCTCAAATAAATTGAAAATATTAGTAGATGTGCCAGAAAGGCACAATCAATTAGAGTTCCCTTCTGTGAGATGAATGATTTCAGTGGGAGTTGAGTGCTCAGCTGTCTGTTTCCCTCTTTTCTCCATCTCCCTCACTATTCCCCAGACTGATGTCCTTATATTGTATATTAAGGCTTCAGTTCTGTGAAACACTTATGTGCATGAATAAATGTATGCATGTGAGTTATTCCATTAAATCTAAATTATAGATGTACAGTGTATTAGTACTATCACTTGTAATTCACCTTATAATACAATTAGCTGTCAGCTCAAATGTCCAGCTTCTTTCTAGAGTTGGGCCACAAAGGGTTTGCATGTCAGCACAGATCTCAGTGCCGCAGCTGACAGGAAAAACAAACTCATTCAGATAAAATGAGGAACCTCCCTAAATCTCACCCACAAGTTGCACTCAACTGAAATCTTTGAGGATCTAGAAACTGTCATTAACTTTCTCATAATTTTTTATTTTTGCTCCCCACAACGCTTTTGGATACCAACTGGGGCCAGAAGCAGAAGTATTAAAACACAGTAAAAAAGGCGGTTCTACTGACTGACCAGCTGCAGAAGTAACAATGCTCACCCGCAAGCCTGTGCCTATGAAATTTCTGGTATTGTTTTGCCAATCAAGATAATACAGACGATGAGCTTCTAAAAATATACAAATTGAGTTTATCTATCACTACTATCTGAAATTCCATATATTTTTTAAGGCCAAAATGGACAGTGATAATAATTTAGCTGGGCCTTCAGCATAACACCAGCCATCTCACCCAGTTATTCATTCTTGCAACGGAAAGAAATATTCTCAAATAGTATGTAAGCAAACACGAAAGAGTCCAATGACTTGTGATAGAACTGTACCATAACTTTTGGACTGAATATCTTTCTAGATTTAAAGAATCCAAGTGATGAAGACAGACTCTTATACCAAGCTTTCCTTCCTCATTCTCTCCCCAGTTCCACACACAATTGGCTCATAGACTTGCATTCCAGTTCTCAATTACCTCAATACACCGATGAAATAAGGTACGTGATTTGCAGTGCTGGAAATCCTTGAATGCCCCCCTACGCTAGTCATGTTGCAGGACGTTTCATAGGCAGTGACACTAGGAAGTTCGGGGAGCTGTAGTGTTCCAATACAGGTATATACTTGCAGAGCTCTGTTTGAAAGACTACAACTCCCAGAATATTCCACTCTTTCACATACTGCTGCAGAGACTTTTTAAAGATGATACCTGTTACAGGAGAAAATTTGGGCAATCATGAATTATTAGGGAAAAAAAAACTAGAAAACTTTTCTTTACAATTTACAAATTTACATTCTGGAGTCCATATTGGGTTAATTTTAGGCAGCATGGGAAACTGAAATACAGAGGATTTTCACACAGGAAAAACAAATCAACAAGATGGATTGTACATCACAAAAACATTTTTTCAGTGCTCGTTTTAGCACTGAAAGGAGTGGGACACCATCAGATCATTTTCCATGAAAACAGGGGCTAATGTTTGACTGGCATAACTAGAAAGTGGGATGCTACTATAGCAGATTCAATAATTTATTCCTTCAAGCTTTACATGACTTGGATAACAATGGCCTAGGAAGTGGATTTGAAGGTTATAGTCTATTTACAGCCCTTCCAACCACTCTACCTCCCTTTGTACTAGAGAGAGTATGATCTAATTTATGTTTGAAATCCTCTTTGCTATCTTGACTAGAAGAGATCTTGTGTAGAAGACATTTTTGTTCACGTGCTTGATGTGAACTGGCCATAGTCAGTAGACTCAAGGATGTTACAGAATGACTGCCAACCAAATAGCAAATAGAGAGCTTATTGATGGATATTGTTTTCCCTCTCCCCTCAAAAGTATTAATAGGTGAACAGTGAACATGAAAAAGAAGTTCTGAGAACAATTAATAGAATCAAGTTTAATGCTGGCAGGATTTATGTAAACTTCTAGAACACTGGTCAGAAGATACCCCTCAGTCTCTATTCCCACTATTCCTGCAAGATTATTTTTGTGACTGCCAACTGTTCAGTGGTTTTGATACAAGGATTGTCCATAGGGACTAGGCTGGAGCCAACTGAAAGTCTGTTTTCACTTCTGCCCTAAATCAGGTTTTGAACTTAAACTGTATCAAAGGGGGAAATCTAGTACGTCATCCACTGTACACTAGTCTTAATTATTTTGTAGCATAAATACTGTAAAGGTTATGAAAATATTTTTACAGTACCAAACAGTTGTGGGGAAGTGTTCCATAAATATCTCTGATGCCCAAGAACATTCCAAAGAGTTTAATGAAAATAGAACTCCAAAAGAAAATAGAAGTACCAGTAGTCTCACTGCACATTCTCAGACTGGAGAGTCAGGTGTACAAAATGAAACACCTCAAATTCCTACATGTATCATCATCTCCTTTGAACAGCACTTTTAAACCAGGGTTGGTGGCAGTTGCTCAATATTTATGCCATGCCCATGCACACATTTTTTTTAACATGCTTTATAGAATGAACAACTGTTTGGATCTGTCCCAGAGTTTGTGGATAACAGTGGTTATACTGAAGGTCAGGTTCCCTTCTTTTCTACCAACATAGCATACAACTTTTCTTTTTCAGTGTTTTTGAATTTTGTAATCAATGCAGTCAACATTATAGTTTTCCTGGAAAGTGCAGAGATTATATGTCTTGATGAGCTAAACCCATTTTCTCTCTCTCTCTGTCTCCTAAGTATTTTAATTCACAGCTTTTGGTCATTATTGACTTCGGAGCTGCAAAGGCAGCACAATATTTTTCTTGGCTGATTTAACAATCTGTTATCTGATGTCTCCAAGTTCACTTAGCATGATCCTCATCTTTTGGGTCTCAAACAGCGTGGACACACATTCTGTCAAACAGCAGTGACTTTTTTTATAATGGCCATAGCCAATCTGAAAACTGTTCATTTACTTGACCTCAACTGATCCTTGACCTTGGGAGACTGACACAATGTTAGATGCCAAGATCTTCATGATAATTGGCATTTGGATAAAAAGACTTTGTGTATTTTATTTTTACTAGCAGTTTGGAGGAACAGTTACAAAGTCAGAGCAAATGTTCTCTTTTTCATGAAATGGAGTAACATGCTCCATATGGAGATGTTTAAAGTCTGTAAAACTGAAAGGCCAAATCCTGAGGGTCTTAACCACAGTTTTAATTCAGTGCACAAATGTGCTTTAAACACAGAAGCTGTAGTAAGGGTCTATGTAGAGACTCCCAAAGCTATCAGAAGTGTAGAGGATATAGGCTTGAAGCCCCCCACCAACCAGTATATGGGGTGCAGCTTACTACCTACTCTGTGCCCCTATGTGCTTTGCTGACCATTTGTGAGTGGGGAGTGAAGTAGCCATGGTTCTATTTACTTTCTACCTCCTTTGGAGTTCTACAAACCCTAGGAAAATAAGAATGGGGCAGACCACATTTCCCACTGAAGAGCAAGGACTTGAATCCCACATAATAGCCAGGTATTGTTCAACTTGTGGCTGTTTGAACCTGCATAAAGGCAAGGCAGAATGTGGTCTTCTGTTTCTCCCATGTCTGTAATCAGGCCAACTCCAGTAGGATCCAATTGGAGTTGACGTGAGTGAAAACTGAATAAAAATCTCAACATTTGACCCTTATCGTATATTATCTTTTTAACCCAGGGACAGGGAAAAATGGAGGAGTCTTTGGACTTCACAGTGGGAGCACAAGGTACTAGTCACATTCTAATACTCTTCTTACACTACAGTATTGTCTTTTAAGTCCAGAAAAAAATGGAGAGCAGCAGTGGGGAGGAAGGAATTTGTTATAAATCACTAGGCTACTGCAAGATTTCCTGTCTGTTCATGAAAACCAAGGAGAACACATCACCCCCTTAGAGAATTGAGTGCTGCCAGCTAGAAGGATTCACAGAAGAGAATTTTCTTTGTGGATTAGACAGGTAGACATTGTAGGTGTTATTCTAGTTTGGCTTAGACATCTGAAGATATCAGGCAACATGGTACATTTTAGGACATACAAACTAAGAAATAGCATAAGAGCGTAAGAGGATAAAAAGGGTATGTCTGTCTATATATAGGCAGCAAGAAGATTCTGTGAAATTCTTTATAAAGTATGGATACACTAATAGCCTTAGGTAGGGTGACCAGATAGCAAATGTGAAAAATCGGGACGGGGTGGGGGGTAATAGGTGACTATATAAGAAAAAGCCCCGCACATCGGGACTTCTGGTCACCTTAATCTTAGGGTATGTCTACACTTTGAGCTGGAGGTATCAATTGCACCTCAAGGAGACATATCTGCATTAGCTCTGATCAAGCTATCGAACTAAAATAAGTGGGTAACTGCGGTGGAGTGAGGAGCTAGCCACCCTGAGTATTATCCCATCCAAGATGATAGGTATGTATCTGGGGCAGCAAGCCCCTTACATCACTGCAGCTACAGACTCTTTTTAGTGTGCTAGCTCAGTCAGAGCTGGCATAGGTATGTCTCTTCAAGCTGGAAATTACACCTTCTAGTTCAAAGTGTAGACATACCCTGAGTTACTAACTATACACCATTTGTCTCACCCCAGTAGCTTTTGTTTAAAAGTTTAGGAGTACAGTAATGGCTGCTTAAGATACTTATTTGTTTGCAATATCTGTGTACTAAGCAATTTGTGTGCCATCCTCTCCTTGAAGGTGACTGGGAGCTATTAATAAGATTTAAAATGCAGCCATGGATTTAGCTCTGCGTAATGCTTTCTAAAAAGACTGAAGATGACAAAATGCTAGCTTGGGCTTCAGCAAAGAGATAAGGCAAGTGCAGGAAGAGGAATGTGAATCCTAATTTGCCCTGATATCCCAGTTATTGATAGTTCTGGCAGAACGATGTTTAACCCCTGTTTTAGATCACAGTTGTATCTTGCTTAGGCCCTGTCTACATGCAAAATAACCAACTTCAACAATATTAGCTAGGCTCTGTTGCAGCTCTGTAAATTACCATGCACACGAATAGGACCAGAGAGATAATATATAACACCAGCCTTCAGTTCTGTTCATACAGGTTGCAGCGGTTAGCCAAAATTTGGTAACAAAGGAAATATGTGAGTTCTCCCTGCCATCATCAGAGACAGCCTTAGTACTGTTGCGTGAGCCTGTGATTTTTTAAAATCTTTATCTTACCCTTTTTACTGCAATCACATCACTATGCACAAAGATGGCATAAGGATTTTGAGGGAGATCAATGAGATGATTCTTCAATATCCTCCCGGACAACTAAACAGACAGACTTAGCTTTAAAATGGAGACTCTTTGTGTCCCTCAGCTTCCTGTTGTAGAAATTGAGGCCAGCTCTATGTGCTTGGGTCTGTTCCTTGCTGCACACATTTAAAAAATATCTTTCAATCCACAATCGTTTTTTTATACCTGAGTACAAAATGCAGCGTGTGCAGAGCATTTTACAAACATTAGGTATTTAATCATCACAACCAATGCTTACCAACACTGCAGGAATATTTTATTTCCATTTCAGGGATGGGGAAACTAAGGCGTTTAGACAGCTGACTACGGCTCATGGGGCCCAGGCTGTGGGGCTATAAAATTGCAGTGTAGACATTAGGGCTCAGGCTACAATACAATTGTGTAGCCCCACAGCCCGAGCCTGCAGACTCAGGCTCTGAGGCTCAGTGATGAGGGTTTCTTACCACAGTGTAGATCAGTGATCCCAAAACTTTTGAGGGCTGCACCCCCCAGCTCTCTCAGAGCTATGGTCAAGAGTGAGCCCACGGCTCCAGGCGGAGGGGATGCAGGCAGGGTAAGGGGGCCTAGGCTAGGGGCTGCAGCTGGGGGTGAGGCAAAGGCTGGGAGCAGGGCCGGGGCCAGAGCCATGGGCAGGGGCCGAGGCTGGAGGCAGGTGCGGGAGCAGAGCCGCATCCGGGCTGCAGTGGGGGTCAGTAGCCAGGCCCCAGCTTGGTGTGGATCTGCACTGAGGCTGGGGACGGGGCCAGGTGAGGACCAGGTGCTGTGGCTCCCCCCAAAACGTGCACACCCCACAGTTTGGGGACCTCTGTAGACATACCCAAAATGACATGACTAAGGCCATAGAGGGAGTTCAATGTCAGTCAGGGTTAGAATGCAGGATTTATTTGCTTAAACCAGTAGAGAAGGCTGAGACTCATGCTACTGAGGTAACCTATTTAGCAGAGGAGCAGAGTGAGTTGCAGGCAACTGGCTGGGAAGAAGGAAGCTTGCAGTGGACTAAGTGCCATCAGCAAATGCCCAAATGACACTGAACTGTAAATTGGTTTGGCATTCCCCCAAAACATGTGGACCTACAAGAAGCTTTGGGAGGATGTGGTATGGGAAAAGGTATTAATTCATGTTCTTGAGGGGGAAAAAATCAGAATAAAAATTTCACTCTTACAAATTCAAGGCTATCATCATAAGGAGATTTTTATTTTAAATAAAAAGCACAGAATGGCCTTGACCACCTGGAGGACCTCTGTCCATATGGTGGGGAATGATGAAGTTTCAGAGGCCTCAAAGGTTGATCTCCCCTTGTTGCATGCAAATAATGTTTAATATAGACCCTGAACATAGCCATATGATGGCAAGTGCACTGATTATACAATTAATCATAGAATCATAGAACTGGAAGGGCCCTCAAGAGGTCATCTAGTCCAGGCCCCTTCACTCAAGGCAGGAATAAGTATTATCTAGACCATCCCTGACAGGTGTTTGTTCAACTTTCTCTTAAAAATCCCCAATGATGGAGATTCCATAACCTCCTTAGGCAATTTATTTCAGTGCTTAACCACTCTGACAGTTAGTTAGGAAGTTTTTCCTAATGTCCAACCTAAACCACCCTTTCTGCAATTTAAGCCCATTGCTTCTTGTCCTATCCTCAGAAGTTAAGAAGAACATTTTTTCTCCCTCCTCCTTGTAACAACCTTTTATGTACTTGAAAACTGTTATCATGTCCCCTCTCAGTCTTCTCTTCTCCAGACTAAACAAACCAATTTTTTTCAATCTTCCCTCATAGGTCATGTTTTCTAGACCTTTATTCATTTTTGTTGCTCTTCTCTGGACTTTCTCCAATTTGTCCACATCCTTCCTGAAATGTGGACACAGTACTCCAGTTGAGGCCTAATCAGCGCGGAGTAGAGTGGAAGAATTACTTCTCATGTTATGCTTACAATACTCCTGCTAATACATCCCAGAATGATGTTTGCTTTTTTTTGCAACAGCATTACACTGCTGACTCATATTTAGCTTGTGATCCACTATGACCCCCAGGTCCCTTTCCACTGTACTCCTTCCTAGGCAGTCATTTCCCATTTTGTATTTGTGCAACAGATTGTTCCTTCCTAAGTGGAGTACTTTGCATTTGTCCTTAGTGAATTTCATCCTATTTACTTCAGACCATTTCTCCAGTTTGTCCAGATCATTTTGAATTTTAATCCTATCTTCCAAAGCAATTGCAACCCCTCCCAGTTTGGTATCGTCCACAAACTTTATAAGTGTACTCTCTATGCCATTATCTAAATCATTGATGAAGACATTGAACAGAACTGGACTCCGAACCAATCCCTGTGGGACCCCACTTATGCTCTTCCAGCATGATTATGAACCACTGATAACTACTTTCTGGGAACGATTTTCCAACCAGTTATGCACCTACCTTATAATAGCTCCATCTAGGTTGTATTTCCCTAGTTTGTTTATGAGAAGGTCATGCGAGACAGTATCAAAAGCCTTACTAAAGTCAAGATATACCACATCTACCACTTCCCCCCCCCCATCAACAAGGCTTGTTACCCTGTCAAAGAAAGCTATCAGGTTGGTTTGACATGATTTGTTCTTGACAAATCCATGCTGACTGTTATTTATCACCTTATTATCTTCTAGGTGTTTGCAAATTGATTGCTTAATTATTTGCTCCATTATCTTTCCAGCTACAGAAATTAAGCTGACTGGTCTGTAATTCCCTGGGTTGTCCTTATTTCCCTTTTTATAGATGAGCACTATATTTGCCCTTTTCCAGTCTTCTGCAATGTCTCCAGTCTTTCGTGATTTTCAAAGATAATTGCTAATGGCTCAGATAGCTCCTCAGTCAGCTCCCTTGAGTATTCTAGGATGCATTTAATCAGGCCCTGGTGATTTGAAGACATCTAACTTGTCTAAGTAATTTTTCCCTATTTTAGACTCTGATACTACCTCATTTTCACTGGCATTCACTATGTTAGATGTCCAATCGCCACCAAGCTTCGTGGTGAAAACTGAAACAAAGAAGTCATTAAGCACCTCTGCCATTTCCACATTTTCTGTTATTGTCTTTCCCCACTCATTGAGTAATGGGTCTACTCTGTCCTTGGTCTTCCTCTTGCTTCTAATGTATTTGTAGAATGTTTTCTTGTTTCCTTTTATGTCCCTATCTAGTTTATCTCATTTTGTGTCTTGGCTTTTCTAATTTTGTCCCTACATACTTGTGTTATTTGTTTATATTCATCCTTTGTAATTTGTCCGAGTTTCCACTTTTTGTAGGACTCTTTTTTGAGTTTTAGATCATTGAAGATCTCCTGATTAAGCGAGGGTGGTCTCTTGCCATACATACTTCCTATCTTTCCTACGCAGTGGGATAATTTGCTCTTGTGCCCTTAATAATGTCTCTTTGATAAACTGCCAACTGTCTTCAATTGTTTTTCCCCTTAGACTTGCTTCCCATGGGAAGTCTAGTGATGCATGTTAAAATAACCCATTGGTAAGTGTGCATGTTACAGGTCCTCTTTTGGGCCCAGTCCACTGAGAATATGAGTCTGTTACAAATCCTGTTAAGATAGACTTGCGTTCTTTAGCTCAAACTGAAGCAGCTAATTCTTTTAGCTTTGGAGGTCCCCAGTTCAATTCACAGTGTGTTACCCTAGATGATACCCTTCATAGTAACTTGCTAGAACAAGAATTTCTTTTGTTTTCTTTTTTTTTTGTAATTTTGTGGAGAAATTATGTAAAGTGATCAACTTTTTAATAAGACTCCCAAATTTAACTCTAAAATTAAAACAAAAAATTAACTAGGGGAAACACCAAACTGTTGTACTATTTCACCTAAGTTGTAGAAAAAAATAAATTCCTGGAAAATTGCTTCCCTACCTATAGTACATATAATATTATAAAACCATTGGGCACCTACATTTTGCAGCTAACCCTTCCCTCAGCTTTATGTTAACATGCCCAGTTGACCTAGGTAAGTACTAAAGTTGCACAAAACATAATGCAAATCAACCACAGCTCACTTTGACTTTCTTCATTTCATATTCATTACCTATGTACACATTACAAATATGACACAGCAAGACTAATATTCATCCATATATCTGCTTTCAGAATGTGCTCTGCTGAAAGGAACCAACACATATTCAACCAAACTTTTCTGCCATGTTGAGAAAAAGAATCAATCTAGAAAAGAATAGCATCTAGAGTCTCCCAATATAATATTGCTCTAAATCGTCATTTTCTAATTCCACTGCTGCTCTCTAGCAGTGGGAATTAAATCTTCCAAATATCATTCATATGAAGCTCCTGTACATTTCCTACAAGCCTTAGAAGTAGTCCCAGATCTTCAATTTTGAACATATAATCCAGTATTGTCAATCCCAACAGTCAAAAATCATGAGTCAGGGTCCAAAAATCAGATTGGCTTAAAAATCATGAGATTTAAAAAATTATAAATGTTGGGGTGGTTCTAATTTGCTTTGTATTTTTTAGCCTCTACAGTTCACATGTTCCAGCTTTTCTGAATAACCATGAGGGCTAGAAACCGGTTAAAATGAAAGCTAAGATATTCATGTAATCACTAGACTCTAGGAGCTGGGGCTTTAAGAAAAACACTGAACATCATGAGGTGCATGATAAAATAACATGAGTTGGTAACAATGGAATCCAGGAAGGCCTAATAGCGCATCAAAATGCCACCTATACATATGTTGTTGGGTTTTTTTGTTTTTTTTTTTGTTACAGAGAAGTATAAAATATCTGATCTCAGAGAACTTCAAGTAATAGAGACTTTGTAACTTCCATTTCTTTGTTGTGTTGCTCCTGTTTCTCCCTCTTACTTAGAGAGGACAAGATGGCGAGAGGATGCACATTCTGCCACACCTTCTACTGTATCTTTACCCTTGTCTCTCTTTACCCTTGTTTCTATTATTTTGTTTAACAAGTATCTGTCTCTGACTGCTTTCTTACTTAGTGCTGTGTCTGATTTTGACAGAAGATCCATAACAGAGGATAATTCATGCACAGAACTAGTCCACTTCCATGCTCAGGACTATCCTATATTGGGTAGGGCCCTATATAGTGTTTGTACTGCCCTGGTCAGCTTTGGCAGAAAACCAAGCAGGAGAAAGCCAGGCTGCTGCCTCTAAACTGCTCAAAGCTATTTGTCTTTGTGGATATATATTGTTACAGTGGGAACAGTAGTGTTATAGTACAATAGCTAATGCTGAAATGCCCCTTTCATTGCATTAATAGGAGCATTGCCAGCAGGTCGAGGGCTGGGGAATGAAGACTGTTTGGCAGAAGCTTTTTCTGCTGAAAGAGAAGCAGATTTTAAATAATAAGTAAGATGTACACATGGTAACCACAGGCAACACTTTGATGGAGGGGATGGCTTGATGGTTGAACATCAATATTTAGCTTCCTTGTAGCTATTGGAGCATTGGCTCTTCTAGCCCTCACTGTAGATATATTCCATTCCTTGCTGTTAACTGCAGATGATTTCCAACAGGACTTTAAAACTTTAAGCTCTGTCTGCTCTTTGTGGACATTAAAGGGCCTATGGACCAACTGTAGCTTAGTAATGCTATGTGTAGATACATTTCATTTTAAACTGCACTCAGGATGCAAAGAGATATATAAAGATACAATTATTCAGGTGTATTATTATTATAGGGACATACTGAATGGACCTCTTCCAAGATGGAAATTGAGCCTTATACTCAACAGTAATGGTTGCTGTTTGATGGGACTAACATTAGCATAAATTTTGCTTACTGAAAATGTATTTAGCTAGTGCCAAGTAGTCAGGTGTAAAATTCTAAGGTCTGTTTTTTTGATACTCAAGTTGCCAAAGAAAGATCAAGGGTTATGTGTGTGTGTGTGTGTGTGTGTGTGTGTGTGTGTGACTACTCAGAGTGTCTGAGCAAATGGTGTCAGGGTTGAGGAAGCAAGAAGCAAAGTAATTCCAGAACATGAAATGTACAAATTTCATAGGCACTTTTTCTTTTCTTTTCTTTTTTTAAAAGCAAGAAAATAATAATAAAAAACACACAGAGACTAAACCCAAGGGAATTCATGGCAAAAAGAAAAAGTGTTAATACCACGTTCACAATGACAAATTAAGCAAGTCAAGAAAAGCAGAATTGAAGTTGAAGCTCAAATTGAATTTATGCTCAGAATTTCTCTGTTTATCATTTGGCAATTCATGATAAATACGATAATCCAAACTGAAGTTTTTTATACGTCTGCAAATTACTATATTGTACAGCACAATACATGAGTACATAGATATTGATGTCCTCCCCCCAATCCCCCACACTAATAGAGTGCAAGCAAAAACACAGTGAAATGTTTAAAATGTATATAGCTTTTTAAAGACATGCACTGCTTAAAAGATTTTTTTTTAAATTAAATAAACCAATTTATGGAATATTAACCAAATTGAATCTATCAGTGCTGCTGCCTACATCTAGCATTTTCATTATCTCTAATTCCATTCTCTAAAGCTAAAAACAAATAGAGATAAAAATAAAATATTTGTCTTGTGAATAGGTGCCTTTGAATTATAGGTTAAATACAGCCCAAATCCCCTGAGACTATGCTAATCCTATGGCTCCTCCTCCTCCTTTGGCCTTAACTCCCCCCTCCCCCCATATTAACCTAAATGCTTCTTCTCTAGGCAATCACTCTCCTTTAGATCCAGGTTGGGTAACAAGCCACCTACGTCAATGACTCACCAGAATCCACTTAATATTTCCTAGCAAGATCAACATCTGCTAACAGAATAGGGAGTTTCAGGGAAATGACACCAACCTCTAAGACCACCCTTCATTCAAATGTCCACTGAAATGCATGTGTGTTTTAGGTGTGGAATGACATTATGACAGGGTTTCCACAATTGATAACTGGCAAAACTTGTGCCTCTACAGCTGTTTTTTGAAAGCTAAACGTGTGGATTCAAAGGAATGCTTGCCGTTTTGTATGTACTCAACTTCTTCAGGTAGGAGGTGAATTCAAAGAGCAAATGGAACCATGAGCATCTGTTCCAATGACTGATGAGATTTAGAAGTGGGTCAGTCCACTGAAATCTAAAAGCAAGACTCCTTTGAAGTATCCAAGGTTGATGTGGTAGGGTTTCCAAAGCCATACTCATGATTTATCTTCAGCAGTGGTGAATCAGAGCCTTTGCTTGCATGAAGTGCATAGTCTTCTCTGGCAGACAATGCAACTATACTTTACAGAAGAGAGAATAGCACTATGCATTAGTATTGAAGTGTGGTGCCACACTGGAAACAGAATAGATAAAGACAGCTCTTTACTGTTATCACATCTGCTCCTTGTGTGTTCAGTCTTATCTGCTGACTTTACCAACAAATACATTTTTACTAATTTATATTCCTGATTGCTCTGTAGACCCAGCACAAATATGAAAGAAGGAACTGGATTCTCTACCTTCTGCATTATTGGTAAAATGATTTACCAACTTTCAACTTCAGAGCTGAATTCTTCCCATCAGTTACATCTGAGGACAGAACCTCTATTACTATTATTATTATTACTGGTGATAATGTGAAAATCCGAAGGGATCCAGAAGCTGAACCGTGTCCTAAGTTGAATTATCCAGGTTTTACATTCAAATAAAAATATGTCTTTCTTGTGAAATTAAGTGTCGTTTATATGGGATCACTGAGCTACAATAGACCTGGAACTCCATGACACCGTTTTTGCACAGAGTAGAACCACACTGAATATCCTTTATGACTAATGACATTGAAAGCACAGTGTTCTGTCAAACTGTATTCTGTCAAACTGTCCTAGTCTACTCAGTATTTTTGGAAGCACTCATATCTGTACAGACCATAACTATCTAATTTGAATTTGGAATGGAAAAGACAATGTTTTGGTTTTGTCTCCTATATTCAAAGAGTTATGTGACACCCTGACCCCAGGAGCACCCCAAGGCCAAAGGGCTAGTGATACCTAGTGTGACGGGTTGGATCACAGAAACCCCCTTGGGAGCTGCCACCTAATGTGCAAAGACTACCCCTCTGCTTCTGTTTTCCCTGCCAGCTCAGGACTCCAGCACCCTGTCTTGCTGAGCCAGACACTCCCATCTGCTCCAACACGGACCCAGGGTCTGAATCACTTGTCCCAAAGCTGCAAGTTTATCTGAAAACAGCTCACAAAAGTGTGCTTGTCCTTAGCACTCAGATGCCCAACTCCCAATGGGGTCTAAACCCAAATAAATCCGTTTTACCCTGCATAAAGCTTATGCAGGGCAAACTCATAAATTGTTCGCCCTCTATAACACTGATAGAGAGATATGCACAGTTGTTTGCTCCCCCAGGTATTAATACATACTCTGAGTAAATTACTAAGTAAAAAGTGATTTTATTAAATACGGAAAATAGGATTTAAGTGGTTCCAAGTAGTAACAGACAGAACAAAGTAAGTCACCAAGCAAAATAAAATAAAATGCGCAAATCTATGGCTACATCCTCACTGCCGGGGGGGGGAGTCGATTTAAGATACGCAAATTCAGCTACGCAGCTGAATTCGACGTATCGGAGCCAACTTACCCCGCTGTGAGGACGGCAGCAAATCGACCTCCGCGGCTCCCCCGTCGACGGCGCTTACTCCTACCTCTGCTGGTGGAGTAGAAGCGTCGATTCGGGGATCGATTGTCGCATCCCGACGAGATGCGATAATTCGATCCCCGAGAGATCGATTTCTACCCACCGATTCAGGCGGGTAGTGTAGACCTGCCCTATGTCTAATCAAAGTGAATACAGATCAACTCACCCTCAGAGATGCTGCAGTAAGCTTTTTCTCAGACTGGACACCTTTCAGGCCTGGGCACAATTCTTTCCCCTGGTACAGCTCTTGCTGCAGCTCAGGTGATACCTAGGGGATTCTTCATGATGGCTCCTCTCTCCCCTTTTTTCTGTTCCACCCCTTTATATATCTTTTGCATAAGGCGGGAACCCTTTGTCCCTCTGGGTTTCCACCCCCCCCTTGCCCACTGGAAAAGCACCAGGTTAAAGATGGCTTCCAGTTCAGGTGACATGATCACATGTCACTGCAAGACTTCATTGCCCACTTGCCAGCACACACATATACAGGAAGACATACAGGTAAACACAGCCATCTGCAGATAATGGTCCTTGTTAATGGGAGTCATCAAGATTCCAAACCATCATTAATAGCCCA